TTCTTGAAACAGACCTAGGCCGACTTCTGTTTCGAGCGCTGCAGGGGCGAACGCGCATCCTGTACAGTCGGCCCGTATCATCAGGATGCGCGATAAGGATGCAAAGGGCCTTTGAAGGCCCTCTCGAGGCTTTTCGAGCGGGGCGCGGACCACGAAAGTGGCCAAGAATGGACCGACGAGGCAAGCATGCAAGGGGAAAATTGCCCATCCTTACTGTGCGGGTTGACTGTAAAGTTAGGTCGGGCATGTCCTCCTACAGGCGGGTTTGGAAACATAAAACATGTTAACACAACCTCGAACATGATGTACATATCTGTATATAAACAAATATTCGAAATTTGTATACATATATATGTATATACAGACAAACGAAAAACATAAAATCGTACCCTGACTATTTTTTACTATTTTTGAAAATTACTTATGTAGAGGGAGGGACCTGCCCGACTGAACTGTCGAGTCGGGCTCACGCCTCGGCGACCTCCGCCGCCACGTCCGCAGTGCCGACCGTGCGCGGCAACTCCCCGCGAGAGAAACGCCCGCCGTGCCCGTGCCCCGCCCCCCAAAGAGCGCCGGGGCAGAGCTCCGGTCTCGACGGATCTCGGCCTGGAGGCAGGACAAGTTGGGCGGCGCGCAGAAGGGGGGGGCAGGGGGAGGAGGGAAGGCTTCTTCGAAGCACCTCTTCTTCTCAGAGGGCGCTGGCCTTACCTCTATACAGGGAAGGCCAGCGCCCTCTAAGGAGCAGGGGTGCTTCTGAGAAGCCTTCCCCCCTCCCTCTACCCCCTACCCCCCTCTGCGCTTGGCCAAACGAGGCGCCAGCGACGGCGACGACGGCGATGGCAGACGGCGACGGCGAAAGGTGCGAGGGCGACGGCGACGCCGAGGAGACGAGCGCAGGAAGGGGTCCTGATGCACGGCCACGCCGAGCAGGCGAAGAAGGACGAGGGGAGAGGGAGTCATGTTGCATCTTCGGAGGACCATGTCCGTCCCATCGTGCCGCGATCCGCGTCGCATCCATGTGGAATCCTTAAAGACACGATCGACTCTGGAAGGTCCCGGGGGCCGCCGAAGGCCCCCGGGAGGCTGAACATATAGCGAAAAACCTCCCGCCGTGATTTCTGTCACCACGCGAGGGTCTCGGGGCAGAGGTATCGGTGCCCCTTGCTCGTCTGAGAAAGGAACAGCGACGAAGACGGCGACGGCGACGGCGACGGCGACGGCGACGACGACGCCGACGCCGACGACGACGACGACGCCTTCGACGACGAAACAAAACTACGGAAAAAACTTTGAAAAACTAAGAAACACGACGACGACAAAAACAAAAAACGACCACAAAAAACGGCGACGACGACGATGACGACGACGACGACGACGGCGACGACGACGACGACGGCCCCGACGGCCCCGACGGCATGCCCCGAGCGGCGGAGCTCTTGCGGCCCCGAGCGGCCGGGGCACCGGTCCACCGCCTCCGAGATGCGGGCGGCCGCGACGGGCTCCAGGAAGCCGGGCAGCCGGGCCTCTGGCGGGCAGGGCAGGCCCGGGCCCCGTTCCCGGGCCCGGGGGGCCCAGGAGGAGGAGGAGGAGGAGGAGGAGGAGGAGGAGGAGGAGGAGGGGGAGGAGGAGAGGAGGAGGAGGAGGGAGGAGGAGGAGGAGGAGGAGGAGGAGGAGGAGGAGGAGGAGGAGGAGGAGGAGGAGAGGAGGAGGAGGAGGAGGAGGAGGAGGAGGGGGAGGAGGGGAGGAGGAGGAGGGGGGGGGAGGGGGAGGGGAGGGGAGGAGGAGGAGGAGGAGGAGAGGAGGAGGAGGAGGAGGAGGAGGAGGAGGAGGAGGCTTTGCGGGGCGCGTCGAGGTCGCGGGCGGGAGACATCCGCATGTTCACACACGCGCGCACACTCGGTGGCAACTTACGGGAGCCTCCCATACCATCCTGTCGGCTCGGCTCTTGCGAATCGACGCTCATCGACATTAGTCGACGCAAGCCGACGCGAAATCGACGCTAAGCCGACGCTAAGTCGGCGCTACAGTGCGGGCGCGGCCGCAAGAAACCATCGCAAGAAACCCAACCCTGAAAATCCGCGCGCGAGGTGCAACTGAGGGGAAACCCAGAGCACCCCAAACGCAGCAGCTCCTTCAACGGCCGCGGGAAGTCACCGCGCATCGCGCGGAGCGAAGAAACCCAGGGTACCCTGACGAAAAGTAGATGGTTTCTTGATGCGCGCCCCCACTGTATGTCATCGACTCCCAGAAGACGCTAGCCGACGCCGAAGACACAATTGCGAGGGCACAGCAGGCTCCCATGATTTGCTATCAGCATATCTCCATGTTCACACGCGCACACGCGCAGCGCTGCGGTGAACAGGCCTCCAAGGGCGAGCGGGTGGCACACAGGCCACGACAGCAGTGGCGTCCGCACTGCCGCCTTCCCAAAGGAGAGCGATTGGGGGGGGGGGGCGGCCGCACAAGCCCCTCACGCGATCCGACCACCGACCTCCCCCGTACAGACGCACTGTGAGCGCACTGCACATGTGAGCGTTTTCTTGTTCGGCGGTTCGACATTGGGCCGAAAAGGGGGGTGAGGGGGGGGGGTCTGGCTCCGGACCCCTGCTCCATGCGACTGTTTGCAACAGTGCGCCCCATGGGGGAGACTCCACCTGCTCGGAACAGGCGCCAACACACAGCCAAGATCTGCTCCAATGGGGGGGGAGGAGTGCCGAGGGCCCGCGCCCATCGGCAAAACAATGAATCAGAAGACGATCGCCGTGCCCAGATCCCACGGCCTCGCGGTCAGGTCTCGCTGACCGCCACCCCACGGCTGCAGGGCTGCTCTGCGCGGGCGCTCCGCGCGGAACGCATACCGTGGGGGATCGCTCCTGCCGAGGGCCGCGCCTCGGTGCCCAGGCCGCGAGGGCGCAGAGATTGACAGACACCGGGGGCCAGTCCAGGAGGAGGAGGAGGAGGAGGAGGAGGAGGGGAGGGGGAGGAGGAGGAGGAGGAGGAGGAGGAGGAGGAGGGCGTAGAGATTGACAGACACTGGGGGCACCTCCCACAAGAAACCCGGCCCTGAGACCCCCAGGACGTCCACGGATGTTCGGCGTGGGGGCGTCGCGCTCTCCGTCTCCGTGCCAAGGGCACCGAAGCCCAAGAAGCCCAGGGACACCCTGGAGGCAAGCCAGAGTGTTTCTTGGCATGTGTCTCCACTGTACACCTCCTCCTCCTCCTCCTCCTCCTCCTCCTCCTGTTCGCTGCCGTCTGAGGGGCGCCTCTGGGGCCCCGCGTCGGGCCCGCCTGGCCCTCGCGGGTCGATCGGGCCCCGAAGACCAGCGCACCCCTCCTGACGGGCACGTCGCCAACAGGAAAGTTCGCCAGCGGCCCAGCGAAACCAACCCTTCCCGACGCGGCCAACGATCCAATGCGCGACCAAAGATCACTAACATGACAACTTTCGGCGGTCTTCCAAAATGCCCGTTCGCGAGTACCGTGGAGGTGCCGCTGAGAGGAAGATGGGGCGGGCAGCTTGGATCTCTTGTTTGCGCTAAGCAAGGGAGGGGGGGAGAGAGAGAGAGAGAGAGAGAGAGAAGAAAAGGGCGGAACAAGAAGCGACGACGGGGCAGGAGGCAACAGCAGGGAACGGGAGGGAACAGGATGGAGCAGGATGGAGGAGGAAGGAGTAGGAGGTAGGAGAGGGAGGATGGCGGAAGGGCGGACGGAGGGAGGAAAAAGGAGGAGTTAGGGAGGGAGGAGGAAGGGGGGAGGATTATAAGGAGAGGTAGAAGGAGGGAGGGATGGTGGTAGAGAACGAGACTGGTGGAGGATAAGGAGGGACGGAGGGAGGAGGGAAGAGCGGCCTTTACCTTTACCTGTTCCTCCCTCCTGCCCTCCCTCCCTCACCCTCTGCTCCTCGCCCTCCCGGCGCTCATGAACTGACCATGACGATCCTCGTCGCACTGACCCCCGCTCCTGCTCTCGTGCCTCCTGCTGCTGCTCACTATCCCGCTCCAGCGTCTCATCCTCATCACAATCCATACAGCAGGGGCCCGACCACAAGAAACGTTGCAAAAGAAACCCAACCCTTAGACCTCAGGACGTCCATCGATTTCTGGTGTGGGAACATCACGCTGTCCATAGCAAAACCATCGACACCAAAGAGATCCAGGGCACCCTGGAAGCAAGCAGGATGTTTCTTTGCATGGGTCTCCACTGTAGTATGCACGCCAGATTTGTCATGTTAGCACTCCTGTATTGCAATCCCTGCTCCGCTTCCCATTGCCGCATCGGCAGCTGCTGCCGCTGCTGCCATTGGTGATGCACCTGTTGATTGTTATGCTGCTCCCCATCTTCCTCTTTCCTGCTCCTGCTCCTGCACATTCATGGTCATTCCTCGCATGTCTGCACTCCTAAACTTCTGTCTCTGTCCCTGCTTCTGCTGCTAATCCTTATCCTACATCTGCTTCTGCCCAGTCGCCGGCAAGATTTGAACCTCAAACGCACACTAGGAGTGAGAGGACGAGAGAGAGAGAGAGAGCGAGAGTGAGGGAAACCAACAGCAAACATACACATAACAAGCGACAGGCAAAAACCAAACAAGGGACGGGCTTCGAGTGGCATCCGACATACTTGAGACATGGTCATAGTATGGGGTGGAATGATGGATGGGGACAGGAGAGATTACGATAATGGGGCAACTGGAACATCTGATCGGTGTGGATTGTTTGCGCTGCCGAGGGAGTGCGCTAACTGCGCTCAAGCAAACTCACCTCGGTACAGAGACTGCGGGTCAACTACTGCATGCAAGGCAAAGTGTGTGCGAACGGCGTGCAACAAACAGTCTGGCAAGACAGCCGTCTGCTACCGTGTGACTGGCGAGCCCACATGTTCAGAATGCGAATTGAAACGTTGCATTCTCGAGAAACGGCTATGCGAGAAATACCAGCACACTGCAACCACGTCATAGTTCCTGGTCGCGGCGAAAAAGGCTGATACGCCAATCGGACATGTGAATGATTGACGGACTCATGACCTCACTGATTGAATCCATTACAAGTTGGCTGACGGACTGGCTGATTGGCTGGCCCGCTCGCAGGCCGACGAACGGACTCACGGACTTACTCCCTGGCTCACTGGCTGCCCGAGTGGAGCACTCTCATTGTAGTATCAGGCGGGGTGGTGGGAAAGGCACTGTAAACGCGGGGTGGGCCAAGTTGGCCGACCTACTGTGTGTTGTCGCGCTGCCTCGAGGCGAAAACGAAGAGGGTTGCTGAAGTTGCAGGTGTAATCTTCTGGGTTGACTCTGTTGCTCTCTTTCTCTTTCTCTCTCTCTCTCATTGTCCTCGCTCTCTATGTGTATGAATACTTATGTGTATATACATGTATCACACAAGTGTGTCTCCTCTGCAAGCGCGCGTGTGGCTACTACCTTCGGCAAACCTGCTTAGCCTGGTGTGGTCACATTAGTGGGGGAAGTGCTTGAGGTAGGCAATCGTATATGTGAATGGCACGTGGATTGCCACGATGCCGAATCCGTCAAGGAGGACTAGGTACATGTCCACTCACGCAGGTGAAATCCAACTGTTCCAGACTGTGTTGATGATGCACGCGTAGCCGTCCGTGTCTGAACGAGGGAGGAAACCAGAGTGACTTGTGTCGCCATGTGTGGCAAGCTGTGTTTGGCTGGCATGATCAGCCCGCAAGGCCAGCGCAATAAACCCGTAGACTTCGAACCCAAGCACACCACGAGCCTTGGCACCCATAGGCAAGCTGTATTTGGCTGGCATGATCAGCCCGCAAGGCTAGCGCAATAAACCCGTAGACTTCGGAGTCTGGATCTGACACCCTTGTCCCCGTATCCTGGCCTGGCCACGAGATCAGTCGGCTCCGAAATGTCCCGAGCACAGCACGAGCCTTGGCAGCCATAGAGGCTTCCCGAGGAACCGCTCTACTACGGGTGGCCGGTGGACCGCGCGGGCAAGGTTATTGGCGCCAGCTGTGGCGGTCTGCGAGCCGGGGCGGGGAGGTCTGGGCGGCGGGCCTGCCGCCGACGGGGCCGAGCCGAACTGCACGAGGCTCGGCCTAAGCAGTGCACCGTGGCTTCTCGGTGTGCGTTCGCGTTCCACAGATGCGCCTTCGCTCCGCACGAGGACATCGGAACGAAAGCCGTCCACGAAACCGCTAAAGAACACAGCTCGGGTCGAGACCTGGGACTGCGGCACGACCCCAGGGGGAGCTCGCGAGGCAGGACCGAGGGGTCGGAAGGGGGGGCGGGGCCTTCGATGGGGGGGGCTTCGCCACGGGGACGGGCCGCGACCCTGCGAGAAAGTGGATGGGGGCAGCCGTAAGAACGACGTCGGGAGACTCTGGGGCATCCCTTCCGCATCCGAGTCTTGAGCAGCAGCAGCAGCAGCAGGAGGAACCCTCTCGGCGCTGGTGCGGCGCGGCAGCCAGGGGGGGCGAGCAGGCTCTGCCGCGGAGCCCCGCCACCGCAGCCCCGTGCCTGCCGCCGCGGAGGGCCAAGTCGCAGGTCTGGCGGGGCGAATTTGATGGGCCTGCTTTCCACCACCACCACCATAAGTTGGAGGGGGGAAGGATGTGGAGGATGAGGATGAGGAGGATGATGATGATGAGGAGGAGGAGGAGGACCCCCTACCCCTCCTGCTTATGGTGGTGGTGGTGGAAAACAAGCCCACCATAATTACTGCCTGCCTACCCCTCGGATTGGACCTCGGCCCAGCCAGCAGGTCAAGGCAAGCGGAGAAAAAACAAATGGAGGGCCAGGCCAGAGTAACACTCGACCAGCCTCATGACGGTGCGTCCAAGCGCAACCTGCCGGAAACATGATGCAAGTGGAGAGGTGGGCGCCGTGTAGCCACCTTCGTGTCAGCTACAGTACTGTGCCGATGCAGGGTTTCAAGAGCCCGCACGCGAGAACACTGGATGCATGGCTGCCGGATGAATCTATCAGATTCAAAACCAGAACCTCGCGTGCATACTCGCTCGAGTCGGCTTTCCGCAGAAGGTGCAGCAATACCAATCGCCGAGCGCCAGGGCGCCTGGAACGGGATCTTTGACTTACAGAGGCTCTCTGCCATCCCCGCAAAAAAACAGCCATGGCTCGAACCACTATGCGTCTCCTCGATCTGGCAGCGCTCCCGTTTGCAACGCCCCCGCTTCCAGAACCCTCAGAGATCGGTTGCGCCGAAGGGAGGGGTTGGGGGGGGGGGGGCAAGCGCCATGGTCCGAGGCACGTGCGCGGGCGAGCCGGAGGAGGGCAGGACGCATGGAAAGAAGAAGGAGAAGGAGGAGGAGAAGCAGAAGAGAGGGCCACGATGAGGTCGGGCGTGTCCTCCTACAGGCAGATTTTGGACTGCTTTTTGAAGCAACAAATCCAAAAATATTCAAACATACCCGAACATAATCAACAAATCGTCCTCTGACTACTGTTTGACTATTTCGAATATTCCTCCTGTTGAGGGACAGGCTCGCTTAATGCCACAAGATGTGAGGGGTCTTCTGGCCTCGGCCACGACATCCGCGCACGCACCCCCGTGGTCTTCGCCCCCCCTCCCCCCATGGCGGCCCTGGCGACGCCTTTAATAAGAACGACGTGGTGCCCCCGGAGGTCTCGATGCCTCCCCGGGCACTTGCTGAGCATTTTCTTGGGGTGGAGGGATCAGGGTGAAATCCACATGGGTTTTGCACCTCGAAATCAATCCGTCTTGCGATTCACCTTTTGCAGATTCAAGCCCTTCGCTGCCCCGACACGCAACACGCAACACGTAGCGTATTGATACGGAACTCAACACGTAGACTGAACACGTACGTTTTGAACACGGACGTTTTGAACAGGCACGTGTTACGTTTCAAAACGTGTGTATCAGAGCAGCTAAGTTCAAGCCTCGAAAACCCATCGAAACGGCATCATCTCAGATTTCATCATTTGCCCTCCGCCCGAAGAAAACGATCGGACTTGTACTTCGCCCCGAGCCGTTCATGGCGGGGCCCCGCAGGGGCCCCCCGAGGCCGACCACCGGTCGCACGCCTCCCGTCGCGCACCTCCTGCCGCGGCTCGGGGGAACCTCTGGGCCGCCCGCGCCCCCCCCCCCTCGCGAGGAGGAGCGACCGCGCCGGGGCGCCGCCAGGGCGCTGCCTCGGCGCTCCCCGCGGAGCTCTCGAGAGAGAACGAGACCCTGGCGGCCCCAGGCGCGCTCCCGCAGAGCTCCCTCGCGGGGGTCCTCGTTCGCCCCCCCCCCCCAAGTGGGGTGTGCTCCTCGCGGGGGTGGCCGAGCGCCGCCGAGCACGGCGCCAGGTCCTCTCCCTGCGCCGCCCTCTCCCCCGTCGAGGAGGCGCAGGGCTCGGGCTTGGGGGAGCTCGGGTTGGCCTGAGTGGGCCGCCAAGACAGCGACGGGACCCAGCCTGAGCTCCGGCGCGAGCTCCTGCTGCAAACATCCCGCGAAAGCTGGACCTTCAAGAGTCAACAAGAGGGGCCCATTGAAACAAAAAACGTCGGCGCACCCGAGTTCACGCAAACTCGAGTCTTACGTTTCCCCGACCCTTTCTCCCTCTCCACCCTTTCTCCCTCTCCGCGGGCTCCTGCTACACGCTCCTCCTGCTGCTTGCTGCCCCCTCTATGTACCACGCCTCGGCGAGGGTCCCCCTCGCGCAAGGCCCACCATCGACTAAACTGTCGATGTCCAAAAAATATCGGCTGAGACAGCAAGAAACAACAAACACAGGCAACCCCCCAAAAAGCTTTCTCGCGGTCATGAGGAGGCAAGGGAGGAGGAGGAGGAGGAGGAGGAGGAGGAGGAGGAGGAGGAGCAGCAGAAAAATGGGCCTCCTCGCAGTCACGAGACGTGGGCGCAAGGCCCCTCCACGTCTCTGCCTCTTGACGCCCTGCTGGAACTGGGTGACCCGGCACCGCCAAGATAACGCGCGCCCGTGCCCATGGATGATCGGGCGGGCTGGCAATGGGGGGTGACCGGCTTGGGGGGTGGAGAAAAAGTGCCCTAAAAGGGCACGTTAGGGCCCCTTTGGGGCCCCTGCTGGCTCCCCCCCAAACAGGGACGAGGAGGAGGAGGAAAAGGAGGAGGAGTAGGAGGAAAAGGAGGAGGAGGAGGAGGAGGAGGAGGAGGAGGAGGAGGAGGGGGAGAGGGAGGAGGAGGGAGGAGGAGAGGGAGGAGGAGGAGGAGGAGGAGGAGAGGGAGGAGGAGGAGGAGGAGGAGGAGGAGGAGGAGGAGGGCGAGGGGAGGGACGGCAAGCTAGGTACGCCCGAGTCACATCGGACGCCCTACCCCTCCCGCCCATCCCGTGCCGTAACGTAGATCTCCTCTCTATCCGCACAGGCGGATGTCGCAACATGGCATAGCATTACATTTGGTGTCGAGCGAGGGGGGGAAGTGAGAAGGAGATAGCCTTCTTAAAAAGCGGCGGGTCTTCTCAGAAGCCCTCGCGCCTTCTGAGAGGTTTTTTTTTGTCATCGGGAAGGCTTAGAAAACTTCTCAGAAGACCGGGGGACTTCCGAGACTTCTGAGAAGGCCCGCCCCTTCTCACTTCCGCCCCTCGCTCGCCGCCGATACATGGTATAACATGGTGTTGAAGATCAACGCGTAGCATGACATAGCATGGTGCGGCGACGCCTCAAAGTGGGGGGGGCTTCTGCGGCCCAACAAAAATCAACGAATCGACACCGAATGTGGAATCACTTCCGATGGGTTTGTTCGGGGGGCTGTTTTCTAGATCTTGGGGCCTATTTGGAAGGACCGAAAACCATGCCGTGGCATGGCGCTGGAAATAATGACGCCAACGCTGCAGCGGGAGCACGATTCGGAACGAGCGGAAGCGCGGAAATGACGCCAACGCTGCAGCGGGAGCATGATTCGGAATGACCGGTAACCCGAAAATGAAACCAGCGCTTCAGCGAGGGCAGCATTTCGAAAAAAAACAGGCGACAACCCGACTCCTGGGAATCATGTGTCAACAACCAGTACGCGGAGGGGGGCCGAAGATTTCCCAGGCGCCACCAGGGGAGAGAGGAGCGTAGTACTCATATCGTGTAACTGTGGGGAGGGAGGAGCCGAAGAACAGGCTTCCTCGCGGTCACGAGACGTGAGTGCAACCCCTCCACGACTCTGCCTCTGGACGGCCTGCTGAAACAAGGGGTGGCCCGGCACAGCCAAAATAACGCGCGCCAGTGCCCATGGAGATGTCTTACCCAATGCTGCCCCGGCTCGCTCATAGAGAGTAAGCACTTCCATCGCTTAGGAGGGAACTGCTGGGAGGTCTTCGTCGGACGGATCAAGGAGGGTTGAGCCCCATTAGGGGGGCTGTCACGCTGGATTGGGCCTCGGATAAAGCGGGATTAAGCCGGACAAAGCAAGATTGAGCCGGATTAAGCCGGATTTCGGACCAGGGCAAAATCAGAATTTGCCCTCCCAAGAATTGCATCCGAATGTATTCTAATGCTGCCCCAGCTCGCTCATAGAACTGACATTTCCATCACTGTGCCAGTTGACTCTTCGACACACATACACACACACACGCCCTCATGTCGCATGAACACCGGCACGGCCCATGGAAGGATCAAGCGTACATTGCCGGTTCCGTTAGGCATTCCGACAATGATCGCATCGGCTATCGCAACGGACGCCTCACCACCTCGGGCGCGAGCTGCATCGATGCACCTGTCGCCCTCGGCCTCATGCGTCCAGGCACAGGCCGAACCACAGCGGCGGCTCCTGGAAGCGGGCCTCGCGGCCGAGGCCGCCGGCGAGGGACGAGCAAACCTTCCCGGGCGCTGGCGACAAGGCAACCCTGGGATTAGGTCGGGCCGGTCACCCTGCAGGCGGATTCTGGACGAAAAATAACACATACCCCAAAAATGCACCACAAATGCTCAAAAATACTCAAAAAATCGTCCCTGGACTATTTGTTTACTATTTTTGAATCTTCCCCCTGTAGAGGGACAGGCTCGACTTGACCCTGGGCGGACGAGCGCCCTGAGCACGTTTGTGCTTGTTCGGCTATCCGGGGCATGCCAGTGCCCCGTGGCTGCGGTTCGCCGCCGCGCCGCGAGGCACCGAGTGGAGCGTCGTCCGCTTCCTCTTCCGAGCTCTGGGCCTCGGACCCACGAGTTCCAGGAATGCCTGGGCGCCCTCGGGGTGCCTCGAGTGCGAAAGGCAACAATATGTCAGCCATTTGTTCACAACGTTCGGCCCCGGCAAGCCTTCCTGTGACAACACGGCCCATACGATGCCGCTGAGAGGCCGACAGGAGTCCCAAACAGGCCTCTGAGAGGCCCCCGACAGGTATCCCAAGAGACCCCAGCAGGCATGCAAGGAGCCTACGACCCACAACCCAAGCACGGTGGCGCGATGGGACGAATGCCACCAGATATCCGCCGCCCCCTGTCTGCTTGTAGAAATTGGAGGCCTGGAAATCGGCACCAACACCAAAACAGGGGCTTGCTTCCACATGGGCCTGTCACATGGGGAAGGTGGTCCTGGACTTCGGTGTTGGTGGTGGTAAGTCGGTCGCCTTGAAAGCCAGAATATGACCACCATCACCGAGATCGGGATATTCTTCCCTCGGTGAAGGCACACCGCCGATGTCGGAGTTCGAGGCCTGCGAACAAGCATACGTGGCGTGCCAGACACTAATCGTTTGAACACTTCCAACAGATTCCCAGTGGGGTTCGGCCGCTCCAGCTGGCCACGCGGACGCGTCCGTAAAAAGCTGCTCCGCTCGCTTTTCCTGTCCAAGGTGGCACCAAGGGGGCCTCCAGGACGGCGAGGTTCACTCAAGAGGGCCTCACAGACGGTCCCACGACGCCTCCAAGGTGACCAAGATGGCCTAGCATTCCACTATGACGGCCCAAGTTTTCCCCAAGACAGCCGACGATGCTCTCCAGCTGGGCGAGAAAAGGCCCCGAAAAAGCCCCAAGAGGGCTCCAAGAGACCCTCCAGAAGGTCACAACCATTGATTCTCATACTGATGTTCAATATTTGTCGCGTTCTGGCCATGTGTGGTTTGGGGAACAGACAGCTGGTGACGGCCCCTGCAGTATCCAAGATAGCCCAAAAACGGCCCCGGAGGCGTAAGCTGAGCTGAACTACGCTCAGCCAGCTTCAGCTGATGCCAGCTAAGTTGAGCTGCCCTGGGCTTACACATTGCCGAAAGTATCCATATTATTATCCGATTTTACCGTAGTGGTAATGGTTGTGCCCCCGAAGATTTCCGATTGTGCTTTCGGCATGTACAAATTTACTCTCTGGATTGATCCAATGTTACATTTCGACTGCACCCCGATCGATGTACGATACTTTCCCTACGGGGTCCAAGGACGGTGTGCAGATGGTGCCCCGACAAATGTGCACCCAGCGCCACACGCCGAACTCGAAAGCACAATACTAAACCCAAAGGCTACTCGAAAATTGCAAAGACCGATCTGCGGGATGACGTAGACTACACCGAATGCTTCCAAACAAACACAAACTAAAACTCGCACTGCAACCGGACACTCAAACTTCCGTAACAACAGAACCCAGCTACATCAGCGAAAACTGATCGGCTCTCGATGGTGCACCGCCACTGTGCAACTCAGATGCTTCCTTTCTGTGCCGATGAGGAAGTGGAAGAGGGCGAGGCTGAGGAGGGTGACGAAGAGGAGAGGGGGGGAAACAAGCTGGAGGAAGAAGATCACGAGGAGCTGCTTGTTCGCCTGGGGGCATACGGCGTCTCCAAGAGAGGCCCGGCGCACGGGTGCACCAACTTGCAACCCGCTCGCGCGAACAACTGCGTCAAAAACCCGTGCAAAGCCGGAGTCTCGCAGTCTGCTGGCAGCTCTGCCAACCTGCGACGACCTCCACGCCGGGCAAAGTGCCGCACGCATTGCGTCCAAGCCAAGACATCTTATGGCGCGCGACTGCTCAAAAGATCTTCCTATGAAATGTACCTACGGACAAGAACTGTTGCTCACGTGGTGGTCCCAGGGCCCCGTAAAGGCCCCGAGAGGCCGAACACGATTAAAAAAAAACTCAGTCTCGGTTTTCTTGCGACGCCAACTGCATGGGCCCGACCGTATTTTTCAACGCCCGCGGACTCCGTATTTCTCCACGCCCGCGAGCCCCTCTGGCGAAGCCAAAAGGTACCAATACGCTGCGAGAGCGCATTGGATCGTTCCAGAACGAACGCATCCTCGTCCTAGCCGCGTCCGAAGTGCGTGAAGCCGCGCATCCAATACCACAGCTGTGCTCTGCGTGGCATCCGCAAAACGATGCTCTGCCACGCGCGGTGGCCACGACTCTGGCTCCATACTGACCGTGGAACCCAGACGAACGCACTGAACCAAGACGAACGTACTGAACCAAGACGAACGTACTGAACCAAGACGAACGTTGAACCAAGGCGAACGTTGAACCAAGACGAACGTTGAACCAAGACGAACGTTGAACCATACAGCCATCGTGCTGCCATACCGAACGCTGAACCACGACGAACGGGCGTCTTTTGGCCGCGGCGACCCTCGGCCAGGGACCGGCCCCCGACTTCGACTTCAGGGACGGCCTGAACATTGGAGCCCACTCGTCCTGAGCCAACATCGGGCCGGGCAAAAGGGGGGGATAGCAAAGGGGGGGTCTGAGAATCAGCTCCCGTAGCTGATATTCCTGGCGCCTCCCGGCGCCCATGTATCGAGGAATGGGCCCGGCGGCGGGGCCGAAATCAGCTGCATGCAGCAGATTTCGTACCCCCCCTTTCCCAATCCCCCTTTTTCGTCCGGCGCGACAGCAATGGTCCTCAATTCAGCATCTGGACCGTACAAAACGCACTCTGTGACCGTCGAGCGTCGCAAACGTAATCTGCAGGATGCAAAAACTGCCGTTTCCAACAACCTTTTTCCTGCATCACCCGAATGTCTTGCAAGCCTGCCGCCAATAGGTGATACGTCGTTGGGTATTTCACACATTCCTGCGGAAAAACCTTGCAACACGTTTTCAAACAGCTGCCATTATCCACAACGTTTTGACACAACAAACATGGCATCCGCTTTGCGCGCATCTGCCAGCCACATGTGCCGCGCACGCTGTCGGGAGCAAGTGGGGGGCCCTCTTCTGAAGAGCTGCCTTCGGCAACAAACCCCAAGCCGCCAAAATTTCGCGCATTGCGCCGGGAAATGCGACGCGCGAGTTCTCTTCGCGAGCTTGCGGGGGACCGGGGCGTGTCTACGACGTCCAATTGCACCGACGTCCACGACGTCGCCCCGACGAGTCCAGCTTTAGCTTGAGATCGTCTGCAAGTGCCGCGCGCCCGCGCGAAGCGATTGGCCCGTCCGGCGAGTGGCCGACCGTTATGCCACAGCCCCGCCGCTGCAATGCCGAGTTCGCTTGGTCCAGAGAGGAGGAAGAGGAGGAGGAGGAGGAGGAGGAGGAGGAGGAGGAGGAGGAGGAGGAGGAGGAGGAGGAGGAGGAGGAGGAGGGGCAGGAGGAGGGGGATGAAGAGGGGGAGGAGAAGGAGAAGGAAGAGGAGGAGGAAGAGGAGGGGTGTCCCCCCCTCCGCAGGCGCACGCACCGCGCCCACGGCAAGTCGAGCCATGCACGCGCAGGGCACGAGAGGCGGATGCGCAACAGGCAGAGAAAAGCAAGAAAAAGAGAGAGGAGCAGCAGCGGGGACTCTGCACGGGGGGCCCGTTGTCCCTTGGGGCGCGCACTTCAATCAAAATCTGACCATCGCGATCCGAACGAATCGCCGTTCCTGCACGAGCCCGAACCACCATCACTCCCCCCCGGAGGACACCCACCACAGCAGCAACCAGAAGCACAAAACAGAGGCACACCCCACAGAAACGAGTACACAACAAGGACAGGACCCAGCGACGCAGGAGCCTCGAACCACGTCGGGAACCTGGCGCGGGGCGGCTGGCCAAAAGCAAACGACAGCGGCAGGGCGCCGCAGGTGCCTCGAACTTCGTCGGGGACCTGGCGCGGGGGTGTAGGCGCAGAGCTCTCGGGAGCAGAGCGGCACTGCGCGCCGCCTGCAAGCGTGCGCACTGAGTACGAGCTGCCCAGTTGCAGCGAGCCAGCCAGGAGCCAAGCTCCACTCCCTGTGCCGACCGACCGCCGACGAACCAACGGATCGGTCAAGGAACCGAACTTTCGGCCCCGCGCGGCAGGGGGCAGCGGGCGGGCGGCGGGGCGGCCCGCGGAGCGGGCGCGGCAAGAGAGGCGGCAGGCTCCCCCCCCTCCCTGTCCCCAGGTCGCGCGGGAAACGAAAAGCACGCCAGGGGGGGCACAAGAAGAAGGAACAACAATCAACAGGGAAAAGGAAGGGAAAATGCAAGGGACAACCAAAAAGTAACGGAAGGAGGTCAGCAGGAGGAGCAGACCAAGGGAACCGCGGAAAGCAGCAAGCCGAGGACGAGGAGGGGCGCGAGACCGACGGCGGCGGAGGGGCGAGCCGACGGCCGGGCGCGACGGAGGAGAACAGGCAGCAAGGGCAAGGACAGGACATGCCAGCAAGTGAACAATGTCCTGCGCCCACAAGACACTCATAAACACCCGATACATAAAGCCAAGACTCCAGCATCGCCAGACAAACCTCCAAACACAAACACTCAGCCAACCTTGCGAGACAACAAGGGCTGCACCAACTGTCAATGACATGCAGGAGCAGGGGCCATAGGAGAGGGGGACTAGGGACGCCGCGGGAAAACGGGGGAACTAAAAGAGGGGGGCGGCTCTCACTGTCCACTCATGGGGGGCAGGCGAAACGGAGGGGGGGCCTCCGAGCA